GGGGGGGACTGATTGGTGGGCCTGATGGATAGAGCTTCATCAGAGCTAAACAACAAAAGAAATCTGAAGCTCCTATGTTTGTTTTTGAGCAATAAGCATTTTTTGCATGTCCTGACATCCCCTCTAGCCCCCTCCTCAAATATGGGGCCTATTGTAAAACCGTTGGCTGGCACAGTGTAGGTCAGACTCATCTATAGTCCTGCCAAATTTCATGTTGATCGGTGCAGCCATTTTTGTGCTACGGTTGACCAAAGATCACTGAAAAAAAACCATGTATGAAAACAATATGACTCACGCTTACGCTTCGCGTGCGGGGGTCATAATAATGGTAGCTGCTTTGGTTAGGGAGCTAATAGTAGAACTGTAGCTAAAAGCTAAAGTTAGTAAAAGCTAAGTTAGCATAAGAAGAAGCATAACAAAAACAAAGCCAGTATGCTGAAGCAAAGAGAACAAAGGAGCTCATTTATCAATAGCAATAGCTGTGTCATGTTTGTGTTAAATGTGGGTGTGTTGCGTGCACAGAGAACATGTTAGGGCTGCACAATACATCAAAAATGTATTATCATGGTAATAACAGCCTGTGCAATATGTATATCACAACATCTGCATAAACTGCAATAAATGGTTGGCTCAAAAGTTTGCATTTGAGTTTTGTCACTCAGAAGCTTGAAGTATTTCATCAATCAAACGGAGCCCTTCATGTATTTGGCCAATTGGATGATCGCTTCATATTTTTGAAAAAGTCATGCTGGAATGAAAATGCTTAGTTTTATTTTGTTGTTTTTTGTTTATCTAAACCCAGAGCAGAAAGACATCAACACTACATTCTTATGTCATTTCATCATCACAGTATTAAGCATTGTTATCGCACATCACAGGTTTTCCTTATATTGTTCAGTCCCATAACAGGTGCAGAGATTGTGCAGACCATTCTTTTGAAATGAGGATTTAGCATGCGTCACTGACGAAGGCAAACAAGATAAAAAAATTCAGAGTTGCAAGAAGTTTTGTAATAGAACAGATGTCGGCAAACTGCAGCTCCAGAGCTGCAGGACTCTTTCTAGCCTTGACAAATAAAAACGTGTTTTATATTTCTGTCTTTGTTAAATAAATATTTCCATAACAATTAGTTTATTTTGTTTTATTATATTTTTTAATTTCACAGTTATCTTGAATGTCAGTGTGATACTTTAACATCCAATTAAAAAATATTTGAATAATTTGTCAACCAAATCAAGCATCACAACTGACAGATCTCATGCCGCACCACCCGCTGCGGCTGCAGCTGCAGCTGTGATCAGGTGAGCAGAGGTGACCGACCGGTGCAGAGAGGTAAACTCTCATTTTCACCGTCTTAAAGATTTCAAGGAAAAACACAATCACATTAAAAACCAAAGTTAGAACATTTTTATACTTTTAGTCCCTTTGTTCTACCAAACAAACTTTGTTCCTTTTAGTGAACTCGAACAAATATTACAGATAACTAGCGAGCTCAGATTAGATTCAGAGCTCCTTAATGACTCACTCAACACTCAGCTCCATGTAAAAGTTTTCCGTCTTGTCATAGAGTCTTGTAAAGATAAAATGAGCTGACGGTTCTTATAAAACAAGTATAATTAAGAAGATATAGATTTCAGTGGTGCAGGGGGTAGGCGTTCACCTTGCAACCAGACCGTCACTGGTTCAAATCCCTGCCCAAGTGCATACTGTGGTTGTGTCCATGGGCAAGATACGCTCCATATAAGACATTAATATATATTTGGAGTTACTGATCTGTCCAGTACAGCAGAAACATTACCAATTATTCTTGACTACACTCAAGTGAAATGCATCACATACTCACATACTTTAACCTATAATTAGATGGAGCTATTTTTACTTTCATTGGAGTAATATTTGACCAGTAGGATCAGTTCTTTGACTCAAGTAAGGAAACTGAGTGCTTTTCCCACTGCTAAAATACAGCAGTATTTGAAGTAATAACTCCTGTGAAAGACTCTGTGCCACAACCATCCCAGATTTTACTTTAGTATTTGTTTAATGATTGATTTATAGCCACTTTCAAGTCTTTTAAGGACATTTGGCTGTGGCAGCCATCTTGAATCTGGTTGACTGCAGTTGGTGTGCATGCAAACATTTATTTATCTTGTTTATAGTATCATAAAATGTCATTAAAGATACAAAGGGACAAAGTGATTTAGATGATATTTGCATGATGGCTCTGTTGTCTCCAACTCAACCTCTGATTGGTCAAAGCAACAGTATCACTGGTGTTTGTTTCACCCTCCAGGTGCCTTCGCTGTTCATTCTGAAGGCCTGAGGCAGGTTTGATTGGATAAAAGCTATGAAATAATAAATATAATAGCCTAACAACAACAACAACAACAACAACAACAATAATAATAAATGTTATTTATTTATTATTATTATTAACATATTAAAACTATATACTACAATGTAAGCTAGTGATTCTGATTGTGTTTAGGCCAGCAAAGAAGGCCCTGACAGAACATGGACATTCTTCACACGTGATGCATGATCCTACTGAAAATGTCGAATAAGTACAAATTTGAATACACATCCAAACGTGTGGCAGGTCTATAGGGTATGAGCCTGTAATTTCCTGCTTCAAGGCTAAAATGGTGTGTTGAAGAGAGGGGGCACTATATGTCAGTACTTGTGTTTGAATGTGAGTCACACTTTGAAGAGTGAGAAACAGCCAACAGTCACAGGTACCACATTTTCTTCAGTCTGCACTTTAACAAAGACACAGTGACTTGTGTTGTTTCTCAGTTACACACTCGTCCCACACATACACACACACGTGCACACACACTCTTACCCATCCAAGTCTTGGTGATTGATGTTTAGTCTCTTGTTGGTACCCAGTAACTCTGGAAAAGACAGACATGAGGAAATGGGGTGGAGGATTGGGGGAAAAAAAAGACAATAAGTATTTTGGTGCAAAGTTTGTTTTTCCATTTGAGCCCACCAGAAATGCCTCCAGTCCGGAGTTTGTTTTCACAGAGTTCATCACTTCTTGTGGTGACAGCCCTGACAAGATGAAGACCTTTCCTCACCTTCAGCAGCCCCACCCTTTCCTTCTCTTCCTGGCTGCCAAGTGATTCACAAATATTCAGCCTCGCAGTAATCTAACACTCAACCACTTGTGTAATGTTCTTTTCTTATGAATCTTTGGACTGATAACCATAAAACATACAGTTTGCTATACTTATGGCAACACAAGAAAAAAAAGTCTGTCAGCAAAAGGCAGTATCAGAAATACTATAATCATATAAAATCAGATTTTTGTTCTTTTTTTTTCATTGATCTAAGTGAGAGAAACAAGTGCAGAGATTTGGGGCATCAGTTCAGAACCAGAGGCTCTAAATGATAAACAGGCAAAATATAAATCTTTCTACATCCATCCATCCATTTTCTGTACACGCTTCTTCCTTTTCAGGGTTGCGTGGGTCACTGGTGCCCATATCCAGCAGTCACAGTGCGAGGGGCGGGGTACACCCTGGACAGGTCGCAAGTCCATCACAGTATGTTTAATGTATCTTTCTACATTAAATAAATAAAATTGGTTAAGTGGAAATCTAAAGTTACTTCTTTTAAAGAATGTCCTGATACATCTCAGTAATCCTGGTAGAAAACTAAAAAAAGAGTTTCCTGGAAGAAAGACGAAAAGTTTCCTTAATGAAGAACCCGTCCAGAGGACCTACTTTTAAAGAAGAGTTTACTCTTCTTTAAATAATTTTAAACCTCAACAATCTTATTTTTTTTACTAAAATTAAACACTTAAACTCTTCAGCAGTACTGTTTAAAGAATGTTAGTTTGTGCTAAATCCTATTTTAGAGGTTTCTCTGCTCCACCTGATCTGAATCAGTGGGTGAATAACAGGTTTCTGCAGAACACAAAGAGGTCATTCAAACACTGACTCAGCTCTGTTGATCAGAGAAAGAATAAAACATGCAGAAACCTTTAAGGACCAGAATTGGACACTCCTGGTCTACAGTTCTCAGTACTACTAATCAGATTCTAGCACGTGTCCAGCTGTGTGCATCACCTGATTCCCTAAATTTGACCCGATCAGAAGCAGTGTAGAGTGAGTCGTGACTTCTTGCTTTTAACTGATATCCTGTTGGAAACGCAGTTCATACTCACAGCTGGTGAAACTGATGGAATGCTGTAATATGTGCTTGGATTATTTAAAAACCAACCTGGCTTTGCCTGAATCACCTCCCTAGGGAGGCATCCAGGAGGCATCTTTAACATTTGCCTGAACCACCTCAACTGGCTTCTCTGGATGTGGAGGAGAAGCGGCTCCACTCTGAGTCTCTCCTGATATCTGAACTCCTCACGTTATCTCTAAAAGAGAGTCGAGTTTCCCTGCAGATAAAACTTCTTCCTACATCTGTGATCTTGTTTATTCAGTCACTACCCAAAGATTTTGGCCATCAGTGTGGGTAGGACTGACCAGTAAACAGAGAGCTTTGCCTTACAGCTCAGCCCCCTCTTCACCACAACAAACCGGTACAGAGTCTGAAAACCTGCAGAAGCTGCACTGATCCGTGTATCAATCTCATGCTCCATTCTTCCCTCACTAGTGAACAAGACCCCAAGATACTTGAACTCCACTAGTTGAGGTAGAATCTTATACCCAATTCAAAGAGAGCAATCCACCCTTTCTGATTGAGGACCATGGACTCATATTTGGAGGTGCTGATCCCGATCCCAGCCACTTCCGTAAGAGCATAAGTTCAAGGTACAATGATACCAACAGAACCACATCATCTGCAAATAGCAGGGATTGGAATCCTGAGGCCACCGAACCAGATTCCCTCCACCCCCTGGCTGCACCGAGAAATTCTGTCCTTAAAAGTTATGAACAGAATCTGTGACAACGGGCAGCCCTGGCAGAGTCCAACTCCCCCTCTGAAAGGGTCGGACTTACTACTGGCAATGTGGACCAAACTCACATCGCTTGTTTAAAGACTGAATGGCCCATAACAACAGACCCACAATCCCATACTCGCGTAGCACCCCCCACAGTGTACCTCGAGGAAAACGATGAAATACCTTCAAGTCCACAATATACGCAGTCCAGTGTTCCATGGCCAGGACAGAACTCGTATTGTTTCTCCTGAATCTGATGTTTGACTAGTGACAGGATTCTTGTCTCCAGTACCCCTGAAAAGACCTTACCAAGGAGGCTAAGGAGAGTGATACCCTTATAGTTAGAACACATCCTTTGACCCCACTTTTTGAAGAGAGGAACCCCCCCCAGTCTGCTAATCCGGTGGTCCTGCCCCTGATGTTCATGCGATGTTGCAAAGATGTAAACCAGGACACCCCCACAACATCCAGAGCCTTGAGGAAATCACAGTGGATCTCATCCACCCCTGGAGCCCTGCCACAGTGAAGCTTTTTAACTACCTTGGGGACCTCAGCCTCAGTTACAGACGAACCAACCTTGACATCTCCAGACTCAGTTTCCTCTATGGAAGAGGTGCTGATGGGATTGCAATGGTCTGTGCAGTATTCCTTCCACCTCCTGACAACATCACCAGTTGAGGTCAACAGCCCCCCACCTTAGTGTACAGTGCTGCTTTCCTCGCCTCAGCCATGTCTCCTTCCTAATGCTGACATTGTATGGGTCAGCACTATGTTCTGCAGTTCCAGTCAGCTATGTTTAAGGTTGTTGTACATTTTGAGTTGTGTTTTTAATTCTGGATGCCTTCAGCAAACCTTTGTCTGGACTTCTTGTAACATGCTGTCCCTTCACTCGTGCCCGCGTTACGTCACACAGACGCTGTTCAAAAGGTCTCATTCATAAAACACATACATTGTTCAGAAAAATACCTATTCATTAGCTTTCTTTTCACAGGATAATAAATTCTGCAACACGTGGCTGTTTGTCCCACTTACTCATCAGTCTTTCAGAGCTCCATTAGTTCTGCTGATTGTCAATGTTCATGATGTCCTAAACAGAACTTTCTGAATTTTAGTTTTAAGAACACTGCTGCTCACTGATAGAAGAAGGCATTACTGTTGTATAAAAATTTAATCTATCTAATTCTCACACATCTATTTCCTGTCTCCAACGATGGCTCCTCACACAGCTAAACATCCTCTGACGTCCAACTGCACAGATCTATTGTAAAAGACCAATTGTCCACAAAGGCCCACACTGGAACCAGACTGCCAGACCCTTCAGATCCAGCTCCATTCATCACTCATTACATTCATTGTTTTCTCCCACTCTGGTGTGGAATATCACACAGGCATGTGTGTTTGGACAGAGACACAAGAACAGGGACAGCTTCAGTTGGACAGTAGAAACTAAAGGAAAATAGAGGTTTGAGTTAGAACAGGCATCTCTTTTATGATCTTCAGACAAATGTGTGTAATTTTCACCAAAATGCTCAACTTGACTTCACACATATAATTTGGTTTCCCTCTCTAGACCAATGCAGAAAGTATTGCTTTCACACATTTTATTTTAAACCCACTGCTGCCTGATAAAACATGCACTGATAAAGTGACACAGCTTCTCTGGTGTGTATTTAGTCAACGGCACAGTTGTTCAGATGAATCCAGTCTGGATTCAAGTTGGCCTGTATGATGGTGTTTTTTTTACCAAAGGATATGACAAAAAGAACTTGACAAAAAATGTAAAAACAAGCCAAATAGGGCAAGGAGTTACTGTGTCTGCACTAATCAGCAATATGGCAAAAGATTTTAACAATTTAGACAATTCAAAAGTTTATTTGTGTCTCATTAACTGTCAGTTAAATGGAAAATTTATATAATTTAAAGTAAAAACAAGTTAATCTGTTTTTAGTGAATTTAAACTTTAAAAGATCTTTCTACTGTGAAGTGTGTTTGAGCTGTAGGGATCTAAGTATAAACTATACACTCCCATTGATCTACATTATTTTTCCTGGCAGTTACTGCAAATTTGTTGTGCTCCAAACAGCTACCAAATATCATCACCTGTTTAACGCTGCATAACAAGAAACAACAACAAATGAAGTTCATTTTCACTACATAAATATACAAAAGGCATAAAGCCAATAAAACATTACTGTACATAGAAAAAAGGTTTTGTTTTTTAACTTGGCTGTATTCCACAGTTGCTGCACCACAAAAATCACACCATCAAAGGGAATATTTACCAGTAAAAAGTCCAGGTTTCAAAAAAGTACTGAAGCTGAAAGAAAATATCTGAGTATTTTACACATGAGAAGAGTATTATATGATGAAGAAATTAGTGAATTTATGAATGAGTTCCCCCTGCAGCCATAATCATATACACTATATTGCCAGAAGTATTGGCTCACCTGCCTTGATGCACATATGAGCTTGAGTGACATTCCATTCCTAATCCATAGGGTTCAACATGACGTTGGTCCATCCTTTGCAGATGAACAGATTCAACTCTTCTGGGAAGGTTGTCCACAAGGTTTAGGGTCTGAGGGGGTGGGAGCGCTCATTGCTGGGCCTGATGGACAGTCCTTCATCAGCTCTTAACAACAAAAAAACCTAAAGCTCCTAAGTTGAATAGATTTTGAGTTAAATTTTACTTACTGTATTTATTCATGTATAATACGATCGAGTATAATGCTATCATCATTTTTGAGCTTACAAAGCATAAAAAAGGCTAATCACCAATAACCCGTGACACTGTGGATCATGTCATCTTGATGAATCGTCTCTACAATATTGAATTGTCTGTTCATACTGTGAAGTGGTTCTCTAACTATTTATCTGGTAGAACTCAGTGTGTCCAAGCTGATGGGTCTTGTTCCTCTCTCCCTTCCTGTTTTAAAGGGAGTGCCTCAAGGCTCATTACTAGGGTCTTTGTTGTTCACAATTTATGTTAAT